GTGACCATGAAGGCGGGGGATGAGTTCACTTTCACGCTCGACACGGCGGTCTACCACGCCGGACCGGTGTCGTTGTACATGAGCAAGGCGCCGGGCTTGGTCAAGGATTATGACGGGAGTGGGCAGTGGTTCAAGATTTATGATTGGGGACCGAGTGGGAATTCTTGGCCGATGAGGAGTAAGTCCCCTAATGTTTTTTTGGGAGTAGAGATGTGATAAAGGGTTGGATGGTTTATTAAGGGAATACCTAGTTTCGTACACTTCGAATATCCCAAGATGCATCCCCGACGGGGAGTACCTCCTCCGCATCCAGCAGCTCGGTCTTCACAACCCGGGAGCGCCGCCGCAGTTTTACATTAGCTGTGCGCAGGTCAAGGTCACGAATGGGGGGAGTACGAACCCGAGTCCTACGGCGTTGATTCCAGGGGCGTTCAAGAGTACTGATCCGGGGTATAATGTTAACGTGAGTCTTTATTGCTGATTTGGTTCGAATCGGGGAGATGCTGACATAGATGGGGGGGGGGAATAGATCTACAGCGGTAGCATGGCCAACTATCAGGTTCCTGGACCTGCGGTGGTAAGTCTTTTTGCCTTTGTTTCATAGTTTTTGGAGATGATCTTGGAGATACTGACGGAAAAATAGTTCAAGTGCTAGACTGGCTGATGAGCGGGAGAGGCGGTTTGTGTGGTTGTCTGTGTTTGTGTTGATTATCCGTGCTTGTGCTGGTTATCCAAGTTTACGCAGGTCATCCTTTGTGTTGATTATTTGAGTTCTTTGTGGGACGACGAGTAACTGCTGATGCTGGACTTTGCAGAATCAGAAAGGTCAGCTGGGAAAAGGGCAGTCTCGAGGCAGTTTTGCAACGCAAAGGTCAATGAGAGCCGATGTGTAATAAAGAAGTTGAATGTATGTGAATGGGAAGTTGCCGCTACACGCCGAGGCCAAGTCATGCGTCACCAAGCAATGATGAAACCTTGTTAGATGGGAAGGAAGGATCTAGTTGATCTTTAGGCCTCTCAATAGCGATACATTTATAATCTCATTAACAAGTGGTACGTGTTCTAGAACCGCTTTGGTGTTTGTAACGGCGTTTGACCGAGTAACCCCCCTCAATCGGCGAGGTTTCATGATTACAGGTTGCCACTCTGACAACATCACTCTCAGGCCTTGTATATCAGTTCGTATCTTCTCAATCATAGACCGGTGTGGCTAGACAGACGCGTTCCATACCCGAACCTTCAAAGCAGGTGCCGTGCCTAGCAGCCATATGAAGCTTTGTCTAAACAGCCTGTTACGTAGCTCGTTGGCCTGTTGGGGCCGCGACCGTTCCATATCCAAACTCTCACGTCAAGTGTCATGTCTTTGAACAACCAACAAGCTCATGAAGCATCATCTGATAAATTGCCGTACGACTTTCAGCAGCATGCGTGCCTCTCCCGCAACCCATGATAGCGTCAAACGCACTCAGCTACTTTCGATAGTTCAAACGCCGAGGTCCTCAACACCGTTCCCTCTACTACAAACACCCTGGGTCCTCGGTACCTTGAGCCATCGAACAGACAGCCAGAGACACACACTCACACAGAAGCAACTCACCTCCACTACCACTCAAACCCCCATAGCAACCCCCAAGCTCAACTACCTTCATCGAACTCGCACAAATTCACACCTTTGCCCTCGCCCACAATGACCAACTTCCAAGAGGACTATAACGAAGCAGTTGAACACCACGAGAAATGCAAAGAAGATTTTGAAACCAAGAGAAAGGCCCACGAAATAGCCAAAGAACGCCGCAAAAAAGCCAAAGAAAGAGGTGTTTCAGCAAAGGAACTAGCAGACTTGGACGGCAAGGAACTCACGGCCTGCAAGGAGGAGCTGGATGCGGAGTGGGCCATGAATGATGCAAAAGAGGACATGAATTTAGCCGAAGAGGCTTTGAAAAATGCCAAGGATATCAAAAAGCGGTGCAAGAAAACATTGAAGCAGTGGTGTGAGGGGCGATTGGGATCGGAGTGCGAGATATCTGGGAGTAGGCGGAAGCAAGAGAGTTTGGGGCGGTATTCGGGGCATCAAGTGACGATGGCAAGGATGATGTCGGCGATTGGAGCAGGAGAGATAGGTTCAGGAGGAGGCACTGTTGGAGGGCAATCAGCGAGACGGCTTGTGATAGACGAAGGGGAGTGTGGACCATTTTGGCGGGCACCTTGTTTCTTTTTTGAACTTTCTGGAAGAGGACAGCTGGCTGTTCGGAGCGGAGCTTTTCGGGGGGGGGGGGGCACAGATGTGTGTCTAAATGGCCCGGCGCCGGCATCTCTGGATGCGAAAGCACACTGCATTTTTGGCTTGCCGGTCTTCAATGTTGATCGGAAGAATAAGGTACCCTATTAGCAGAACCAATTGATAGAGTTGTCAAATTTCTTAAACTCTAATGACATCATCAGAGGCCAGTGCTCTGGCTTTTATGTGACATTATTCATCAGGAGTTTGGCACCAACCCCAAGGCCAAACCCCCAAATCTCCTCGAGACCAGTGTCAGCAGCTTCTTGTCTATTAGTGGAATATGGCAACAGGCCTTTCAAGCCACCCCTCTAGTTCCTCCGGACTTGAACAACCCTAATAAGGTAGGTACCTGGTAGTATTTCATCGAAGCCTGGAATTTAAAGGTACAGGCAATAGCTGGCTTTCATTCTAACAACACGAAAAAGTCACGTTTCTCCCCTAACCAGTTCACTCGCAGCTTTTACTCCCTTTGCGTATCTTCAATATACCAGAGCTCGTCTATGCGAAGAGGCACAATTTCAAACATCCCTAAGCCCCGACACCCAAGGACTTTAATGACTGTAACAACAATACCAGTCCATGGGAGTGTGTTGATTAAGAATTTGCCAAATCCAAGGAGCCTCTTATGGGGTGCATTGCCATCCTTTCTATGGGCGAGAGCAAGGTATTTTTTGATGATGGCCCTGCTTTCAGTGAATTCCAGCTAAACCCATCACTCGATGACCTGGCCCACACCTTCCTTGAAATCTTATCAACACCAAGGCAACCACATATCAATCTGTTCAGTAGGCAGGAGCGACCATCAAGGGCCGATGGTCAGGCAAGAGCATTCATGCATTCAAATCAGAATCAAAGATAGGCATCCTACCTTCACCAACCGCAATCTCCTCCAAAGTCCCCAACATCACAATGTCTTTCAACCTCTGGCCTAGATCAAAAAGCCCTGACACAAGGCTAGTAACCTACTACTCCAACCTTTTTCTCTCGTTCCACAACCCCCAACTCGGTTATCACTCTGTGTACACCTCATCTTACCTTATATCAGCCAAAAGCAGGTAACCCCGATCTCCTTTCCCCGCAACTACCCGACTCCCACAACCATCAGATGCGGTCCGACTCCGACAGGTCATATCAGCGCGCCCAATGTCTTAGATCTGATGGTGGGCCCAAGGATCATCCCAAAATAGGTGAGGTTTCCCCGCAAAGATGGGCAAATGGTTTCAGGTTGGACTGCGTGTTTAACGGGTTTAAGGAGGCTTGGTTGAGGGGTTTCGGATCGGTAGTTAGCTGGTCGGGACCGGTTTTGGACGACTGGGAAGGGGATCAGTTTGAGCTGTACATGGATGGTGACGGGGGGAAGCTTACCGCTTTCATGTCCGATGTGCCCGGGCTGGGTGGTGATGTTGTGGGAGATAAGGGGATGGGTTAGGTGTCTCTGGGAGTTCCAATGTGTTGTGTCTGTGTGTTGTCAACGGACGTAACGGTTGAATGGAGGGTGTGGGAAGGGGGTGTGGGTGGAGGTGGGTTGTTGAACATTTGAAATCTCGAGTTGGTACTCACCTATCCAAGCATCCAGGACAAGTTGGGTTTGCGGTCAAGTTTGATAATGACAACGTGTGGTCTAAGAAAACTACGGATGAGGCTGTTCAACGATTTTCACTTCCTTTCAAGATCAAGCCACATGATTGTCAAACTGATACCCTCAATCAAGCCCAGACATGAAACTCACCGCCTCAAACAACCCAACCTCCCACCCTCAGTCAACCACACAAGCCACCCCCCTCCCGTCCTCAGATCTGAAACCAATATGTGATCGCCCATCTCAAAACCTGACTCTCATCGCAACAATCTCAGATCTCAACTTACCTGACCCAACACCACCTGTGGATCCCAACCCCAAAACCAATATCCAATCTCAGACATTTCAGATGCACAGCAGCCGGACAGTTGCGTGCGTTTGATGGAACGCTCCTGCTGCTGCACCACCACACCAATGTCTCAGTGCTTAAGCCAACGTAGTCTGGATGTCTTGAATTTTTGGCCAGCCAAGTTAAGGTAGGTAAGCAGATCCGGCAACCTGAATCCGAAAGGTAAATGCTCGGGGTTTGAGAAGGGAAACTCCTTCCGAAACGGCCGTCAAGTTGTCACCATCCAAGGCCAACCTGGTAACATTCCAATAATTGTGGATCTCTTTTTTGCTGTCCAGCCTTAGACATCAAACTCAGTAATGTCAAACGAACAACAAGACAGTCAAGTCAAAGATCTTTGACCGGGTGGGATTGAAGATGATAATAGATAGGTAAGATGATGATTACTTAGGTATCGTAAAATATCTGCAAAAGAAAACTACATTAAAGAAAAATAGACAAAAAGCAAAAATAAACTCCTGGTTTTGCTCCCCCCGCCCCCCCTTTACCAGCCAAAGAAATATTACCAAAAGCAAATACCCAGGACTCCAAACCCACATATCTAAATCAAGCTATCGTACCATGTCAACTCCCCCCCAAACTCCCAAAAAACAATATGATGTACATGCACTACTCCCTCACCCCCTCACCCCTGACCACCACTCCAGACTCCGATATCACCCCACCTGCTGCTGTGTCCAAGACAAGCATGACGCACCATCACCCCAACGCCACCACCTCTTTGACAACTCATCATCTCCGAGTCATACCGACTTCTCGACAGTGGTGGTAGTAGGAACCGCCCCAATAGTCCTCAACTCAGGCCTCTCCAACAACCCATACCGCCCCTCGGCCAGCAACCTCTTCGTCGTGATCCTCTCGGGATAATTCCTGATAAACATATTCGTGAAATGCGTCCCATAGTGCACCCCCTTGTCGTTTTTTCTGCGGTCGTCTAGGTCTGTTGGGATGACACCACCATTCAGGGGCTTCAACACAGCCTGAAAGCTCGGCTCGTGAAAATACGCAAACGCGAACCTCTCTCGTGTGTTCAGGCCGACCTTGTGAGGCGTGGCGGTGAGGTAGTTTCTCGTCAAGTACTGCATCATATCCCCTATTTTCCCCTCATTAGTCCAATCATCCTCCAGGTTGTAGAAGAAAAGGAGTCAAAAAAAAAAAAAACTCACCAAGAATAACCGTATGTGTCCCCCCAACAGGCGGGACAAAAACCCACCCCTCCTCCTCCTCCCTCAAGCCCGCAGCACTCTCCTCCCAATTCGCAAACCTCTCCTCCCGACTCGGCCGCCGAATAAACAACCCCCCAACCTCATCCTGCGCCGAGATAACCAGCAGCCCATAATCCGTGTGCGAGCCAATCCCCCTCCCCTCCTTCCCCTTCCCATTAGTCTTGTTCCTGGGAGGAAACCGCAAGACCCGTGCGTGATGCCACCCCCCCTCCCCCTGTTTCCCATCATCACCAATCCACCGCCCCAGCTCCCCCTCCTCAAGCCCCAACCCCATCTCCACCAACCTCACCAACCTCTTCCCTTCCTCCCCTAGCTCGGTCTTATACCTCATCATCGTCTCCCTCATTCCCCCATCCTCAGGCCAGGGAACAGGTCCATGACAAGGCCACCCCGCCTTGACCCTCGAGTCAGTCTTGGCGAAATCACGGGTGATGGTGAATATCTCGCTGTAGTCGGCTATGCCGTCGGTGACCTCCTCCCCGGAGGCGATGTAACCCCCATACGACCGTTCATCCACGCAAGCCGCCTTTTTCTCGGGCGGGAGTGCAAAGAACTGCTTTGAGGCTGCCATTGCTTCTTTGCAGAGGCGTTGTTGGAGGGGGGATTGGGCTATTTGAATTATGCCGTCTCGTCGGAAGGCCGAGATGATGGATTTTGCGAGGAGGTGGTGGGATGGGGTGGGGAGGATGACGCTGGGGATGGTAAAGGTGGGGAGGGTGGCTGTTGTGGCGATGTAGCCCGGGGGCATGAGGGGGTGGGTTTGACTTTGGGGGGTGGTGGTGGTGGTGGTGGTGGTGGGCTGGCGTGGGGGTGAGGCAGGTTGAACAGGGAGTCTGGTGTTTTGTGCGGCTCGGACGTTGAACAAGCGTGGTGGCATGCTCATGGGTGACGACGACCTTGAGGAGACATGGGTGGCGGCGGCAACGGCGGCTGTGGCCATTGTTCTGACGGCTCTGCCGGGTAGAGCAGCCCGGCAGAGGGGAAGACCCGTGGTGCGGACCGAGATCTTCATGTTGAAAAGGTAGGTAAGAAGAAGGTGTGTGATAGACAAAGATGTAAGACCAAAGGGTCCCGTATTGATATTGTGGCTTCAGGCTGAAGTGGTGTTTGAGATGAAAGCGGTGGTTGTTGCTCGAGATCAGATCAGGGAGGGAGGAGAGATCTCTTGTTTTTATGCTTTATATCTATGTGCCTGACAGCGACTGACAGACACTTGGGGCGAGTCGGCGCCTTTTCGGGCTAGGCGGCGGTGTGGTAATCGAGGTAGATCAAAAGTCTTGTACCCATCTCGTAGGCACAAGTACCTGAACTCTTGTCGCCTGTCTCGAAAATCAGCAACCCCAAACCAAACCCCAGTCGGGTACAACAAAAGGACTCACAGGGGGTTTGGGGACCACCTCCGAATTTGGTTGGATCTCCATGTGAATGTCGATGTGTGTGGCAGCGTAACCTTGAAAATCGGAAAGAGGGAAACTCGTCTAAACCTGCCGGGACAACAACAACAACAACAGGGGGGGAAATATCCCGCGTCGTTACGTTGAACTGAATCAACGGTTTCTGAGCCGCATTCGTGCGGACCATGAGCGGGAAAAAAAGAGACATGTTGCGAGACCACCGTGATCGGACTGGCCGCGAACTGTATGTACATAGGATGACCTATCCAGGTACCTCCCCGGATTTGTGTCAATGGGCCGCCGGTACCAATCCTGGCATGGCAGGCTCTGCCTTTGTGAGTTGGTGATACACGCCCTCAGTGGTGCAAAACTAAGCCAACGAGCCAAGGGGAGAGGCTGTGGCCGAAAAAGCTTTGCGAGCCAAGAAGTGGGACAGCAGGTCGCGAGGACAGCAGGTCGCAATGGTATTCTTTGCGCCCCTTCGTCCCAAAGCCCCCCGCCCAAATTCTCAATCGGTTCTGTCCCCTCCTTCTGCCGGGTGTACCTGATCCCTCACTAGGGTCGTCGTGGTGTCCTTGACCACAGAGATGAGGTTGGTTCGCACCGGTGGTGGGAAGCATGATAACTGTCAGAACTCAAATGGCGTTGCCCGTTGACAAGGTACCACAGCCAGACAGCGTTTTTACCCTGGTGCCATCCTCCTTTAAGGTGTTTCGCTCGTCGTTAAAGTGTGTATGTGGTATCGTCAGATGGCATTCTCGTAAAACGCGCATGCCATTCAGGCAAACATATCTGAGACTCCCATCATCAGCATGGTACAGGAATCAAGATGTGACAGCTGTCAAGCTGGGGAAAGAATGACCCTCGACTGCAGATTGCCGTAGGCATCATCGTGGCAGTCAAGGCAATCGAGTAACGATGCAGTACCAAGATGCACGTGCAACCGTTTTGGCAGGCGACCGGCTACTCGAGCTTGAGAGTCTGGATACACACCATCACCCTTGAGCGACGGTTATCATCGAGATGGAGAGACATGTCATCGAGATGCCTCTCCAAGGCGCCTATTATCGCTACCTGTCGTGATGTCGTGTTCTTGTCGTCCGCGTCCCGCGGCTGATGATAAGCTTCAAGTCACGCCAACCATCAAAAGCCGTGACGGCAGGTGTCGTGATTCGGACTTGGAGCCGTCGTGTCTTCTGTCAAAGCCACACCCGCCATCCGGGTTCTGGGGAACAACAAGCTAAGGCATGAGGCATAACGCAGCGGCCGACCTTGGGTGCAATATCAACATTCTCTTCGTGTCCTGACTCGATCAACTCGCAGCTATCCTACATGACATGACGTACCGGATACTCCAGCCGAAGACCAAAAGAAAGCAGAGTTACCCCTGGCCGTGCCTGCCATACGTGTTCCAGCTCTTGGTCCACGATAGTCTAAGATCAACCCCCCCCCCAACC